AGTTTGAATCCACCTTTTATGGACCTTTCTGCCTCGGGCACCATAGACCTCCATTATTTGAATGTCAGCAGACAGCAAGAAGCCTCCCAGATCTCCAGATGCATTTGAGATATCAAAAAAGTACTCCAGGGTGTTGTTCAGCATGGGGGTGAGTAGAAAATGAAGGCTAATCATGTTTTGGGTGTACTATTCCTTTAAGACTGTAATATTGTGACACATAATCAGGGTTTTAATTGCGTTATAGTAGTTTAATAAATGAATCTTTATGTTATAAGCGGATGTTGTATGAATCATTGAAATAATTAGTTTGAAATACTTGCTAATGACATAAGATAGTAGGTTAATTGCAACCTTTTTTTCATCATAACCTCATCCTCCTCCGCTTATCTAGGACAGGGTCCCAGTCTCAGCAGAGACTCATGCTGGTAGTTAGGAAGGAACTAGGACCAGGAAGCAGTATACTTCATCCATTTACAAAACTTTTTTAACATTTGTGGTATTTTGTTCTTTTCCAGAGGGCTGCTGTTCAAATTTGACCAGCATTATTCATGTGTGTGTCCATTGAGTAATGACGCTTGTTGGAATCAGCACAGCAGTCACAAGCTCCTTATCTACCCTGGATAGTGATCTGACTGTTTACCCTGAGAAAGGTGAAGGGATAGGAAGTGGGAACAGGAGCTAGGAGCTATAATTTGAGGTATTTGGATTGAGCCCATGCCTTTTCCAGATGACCAAGCTCTCATCCTATTCCCAAGGGATTGTCCGACAACCATGCAGAGAAAGTTAATTTCAACCACTTATATCCAGGATCTCATTATTTTGGTTATGATCGAGATTTAATGACTGTAAACGAGGGTAGCAACATAGAACGACCTGTAAATCCATGGCTTTGCCTTCTGGCTCAGCTCTCTCTTCGCCACAACAGCACCTACTAATCAGTCTATCTCCATTTTCCCCTAACTGAAGATACCATACTTGAACTCCTCCGCTTAAGGCAGAAATTCTCCTTGGACCTGAAGGGAGCAAGCCATCTCTTTCCGGTCTAGAATCATGGCGTCGGACTTGGAGGAGCTGATCTGACCAGCAGAGGGTTGAGCAATGTTTTGTTTTGATAGGTTAATGAGTTAATCCAAACTTGAAGAACCAAACGCAGAATTAACAATTTCTGCTTCTATTCCTCTTAGTGTCATAAATATGTGTGATTTTTTTTTAAAATGAGCAAAAAACAGACTAAATTTCTCAACAAACCTCCATCATTTTATATTATATTATATCATATTATTTCTTTGTATGGTTTAGTCTCTCACATCACTCACATTTGTTTATTTATTTTCTTGTCAGAAGTGAAAGAGAAGACATCCTGGAATCCTTTTAACCAGCTGCTTGATCAACCAGGAAGCAGCAAAGATTGCATTAAAGCTGTTCCCCAACAACAAACAGCTGCCTTCTTGTCTATGTTTCTTCCTAAACTGAAACTGTTGCTAAAGCCAGATTTAAATTCTGCACCTGAATAGCGCTGAGCTGGATAATGGATACAGAAATAGGATTTACATTCCTATAGGGTCTCTGATTTAAGTTCTAATGGCCCTCTTCATTTCTGGAAACTTAGCAAAATATAGGACAGATACTTCTTTTTAAATGATGTGTGACAAACACTATTTTCCCCATCATTTAACATATATATATTGTCTAGGTTACTGTTTATAATAATGTCCAATATATTCAAGCAGGGAAACGGAGCATGTCAGGTTGTGATGTGTATCACACAGTCTACTGGATCTAACATGCGGCTGATGCAGATATAGGCTTTTATGGCCTCTGTGAAGGATTTTCTGAGAATTCCTTAAAGCTGCAGTTACTGCCCCAGACTGCTGATTACTTTACAACACACTATGTGGTACAAAACGTGCACTAAAAAGAGAGTAAGATCATTGCTCTGAAAATACATGAAGTATTTCCTCTCTTACAGATTTCTGCTGTTATGTTTCTTTTCTTATTATTTATGGATTTTAGAAAAATCACAAAAATTAACATTTTTAAAAAAGTATATCAAAGGTTTAAAAATAATGACTTAGTTTATGAGGAGCATTAAATATTCTAACCAACCTGTTTATGAAAAACTACTTGACCTCTTATCAAATCCATATAAATGAATTAAAAGTGAATAAAACACAGCTCTGACTAAGTAGAGCCACATCCAAGCATGTTTACTGTCAGATCTAATAAGTTAGAAATAAGTTACAAGATCTCATTAAACCACCCATCATATTTTAGTCTATAAGAAATTGAAGGACAGATCTATTGGTCTGGGGAAAAAAATAAATCCATTGATCAGGCTTTGGGACTGCAGTGCGTATCGCTGAGAGCTATTTGTTATCCACAACTGGAGTAAACATGGAACAGTAGAAGGTCACTCCTACCTTCCTAGAAGGGACTGACACATAAAAGACAATGTTATCGACATGTATCAGTCTGGAAAAGGTTACGCAGCTTTTTCTAAGGCTTTTGGATACCAGCAAACCACAGTGAGAGACAATTTTCACAAAAAGTGAAATGTGAAAGGGCTTTGAAACATTATGTATCCAGAAGATCACAAAAGAAGATCACCTGAAAATTACATTCAATGCACAGCGGGCTTCAATTGTTCAGTTACACTCTGTGTTCATGGTTCAACAATAATGAAGAAAATGGGTCAAGACTACTGCAGACTATAAATAACATAAAGACCTATCAGACTTTAACCCCAAAAACTTCTCCTTTAAATTTGTAAATATTTCTCGAGCTTATGGGGAAAAACGTTTCCTTGCTGTTGCAGTTGGAGTAAAAGTAAAAGTGTCTAATAAAGGAACATTGCACAATTAGTCAATTTAACTGTCCGTGATGTGATTCTCTGGGGCTGTTTTTGTGATTCAGGACCAAAAACCAAACAAGTTGAACCACAAAAGACTGTCTTGAAGGTTTGTGACCTTAAGCTTAAATGTACTCCTGACAACGATCTGAAGAACAACAGCAACTCAGCCTATAAATGACCAAAAAAAAGATAAAATGAAGGATTTGATTCAAAGGCTGTTTCCAAACGTCTAACACCTAAATCCCTCCATCACTATACAGAGCGGGGACTATATGTATAGTGGACTTTATAGTGATCTTAACTTACCATTCGGACAGATGATCACTACTTTTCACTTCCCTTTGGTCACATGAACCACCTCCCCGCACGTTTAAGAAATACAATAAGAGTTCATTAATTTTTATTTAAAGATAATCATTCATTAGTCCTCATCCTCTCTTGTTTGCAGTTTCTGTTAAAGGAGATCTTACACAAAGTATCATAATGTGTTATGGAATCTAAGGGCATAGAAAATATGAGTACATTCATTAAGCAAATGATCCAGAGGAACAGGAGGAGGAGGAATGCTATTAACTAATTTGCCTTGTGGTTATGGAAAGAATTTCCGTCTTATTTCATTCACAGTGTGTATGATTCTATCACGAAAGCACCACTAATTACTGTTCTTTTTGAAAGACTGTGAACCTCGTTAATTTTGCCTGAATATGAGAGTAAAAACTCACACTCAGGCTGTCAAGTAAGGAGATGAAGGGAAAACTTGAAACTTGTTTCAAATCCCTTCATGAACACAGAAGAGTTAACTGTCACTGGAAGGAAAACACGGTGAACAAATTAAACATATGAAAATTAACTAGGGCTGCATGGTGGAGGAGTGGGTAGCACTGTTGCCTTGCAGCTAGAAGGTTCTGGGTTTGAGTCCTGGCCCTTTCTTTCTGCATTAATTTGCATGTGCATGCGTGGGTTCTCTCTGGGAACTCTGACTTCCTCCCACTGTCCAAAAGCATGGCTGTTAAGTTAATTGGCTTTTCTATATTGTCCTTAGGGTGTGAGTGTGTGTGTGCATGGTTATGTGTCTTTGTGTGTCTCTGTGTTGCCCTGCGACAGACTGGCAAACTGTCTGGGTGTACCCCCCCTCTTGCCCATAGACTGCCAGAGATAGGCACCCGCCCCAACACGACAAGGACTGTGTCGAAATTGTCTGCCCTAACCCCTAAATCCCTCAATCGCTATATAGAGTTCACTTACTGTTTGGAAAGATTATCACTATATTTCACTCCCTGTTGGTCATGTAACTCCACCTCTCTGCATGGTTCCTTCACCATCTTTTTTATTTGTTGTTGTTGTGGACCGTTGTGACAACAAATCTCATGATTCTTTGCAAGGAGAGCTCTCGCAAAGCATTCCACGATATATCTGCTTGTCCAGTGACCATGGATGATCACTACTTTCCAAGGTGCATTGTGGGAAATTTGAAGTCCGCTACTTTTTCATCCACTAGACCAGGCATCCCCAAAGTCGGTCCTCTAGGGCCGCTCTCCTGCAGGTGTTAGAGGTTCCCCTGCTCCAGCTCAGCTGATTTACATTGATAGTTGATGCTTTTGCTGAACTGCAATCATCAGATTCAGCTGTGCTAAAGCAGAGAAACCTCTAAAACCTGCAGGACAGCGGCTCTCGAGGACTGACTTTAGGGATGCCTTTACTAGATGTTCAGACATTTATCTAAAATGGCATAGTCACTACATCATGCCGGAAGTTCAGAAACAGCCAAGGACTAAGCTGTATAAGATGGATGGATGGATGGATGGATGGATGGATGGATGGATGAAAACTGACCAACAAATCCCACCTGTAGTGACAAAAAAAATGAAAAAACTGTTCTCATATAGAGATTAAATCACAGAGATTTGAAGAAAAATATCCAAATTGAAGACAAAAATAAAACCTTAACATAATGGTTTAAATAGCAAGCATTTAGTGCATTTATACATATCTATGGCTGAGATTGTTCATACTTGAGGCTGTTTTTTTTTTTATCAATGTCTTTCACAGTATTGTCCTTGTGGAGAACATTCCTGCAGACCTGTTGTTCCCAGACAACACCACCTTCCACCTTCCACTCTCAGCAGGACTGAACAACTTGCTGGACAAAGCTGAGAGGGTTGTAGAGATAGTTTCCCCAAAGTGGTACCTCAATCCCTCTGATGATGAATCCAGCTTCTATGCTGCAGCCAGACAGGTAAAACAAAACAACTAACCGGACACTTGACACCACAGAGGCTGTGATGTTTATTGGCATATATAGTCTGCTTTATATCTCCCTGTATGCTATTGTTTTAGAAAGATGAATGCAATGGTTTATCTATTGACTTTTTATTTGGATGGATGGATGTTTTCAGACAAATGTCATATATAAATGTTTTCAGTTATATTCGATTTCATTTAAATATCCAACTTTGATGAATGGTTGAGCTGAACATGTTTCTGTATGACTGACTACTGTGAATCTTCCAATGAATCAAACTGGATGATAGATATAAAGATGGATGTGTTAGATGTCTGTGAATCCTTGTAACCCAGAATTTCATTGCTCTTATAAACTTATTTTGTTAGATTTAATTTACATATTTTATAGTGTTGAATGAACTTCGTCTACTAAACTATAACAGAATAGCTTCATTTTTTTGAAAGCTTTTTAGCAAGCATTATTTTCAGCATATGATCATGCTTTGCTACTAGAAGATATGCTTTCACTTCTGTCCTCAAAGTGATCTGCTGTGGTATTAGATAAAAATGATCCAAGGCATAATTCAATCTTGTATGATGTCATCAAGCAGAAACACCACCCTGTCTCT